CGAGAAGGGCAATGTGGGTTGGAGTATCCAGCATGGTGAGCCATCTTACAGAACAAAAACTCACACAAGGGGCTGATTACCAGCCTGTATCCTCCCTAAAAGTGCCTTGAGTAGATCCCTTCCATGCCTCCCTGCCTAAACTCTAATGCCTCACACGTCTAATTGATCATTAAGCCTTGTCAGTTGGGTGTCCTAGTGTCTCTCAGAATACACTGTGCTCACACTATATGCCTAAATCCCCTGGGGATTAAAGACTTATGGTTCTGCTTCTTACAGCAAAAAGTACTGGATGCAAACCTCACTGGATATCTATAGGACCTTGGAGCAAAGGGAAAACTTCTCAAAGCAAGACCTTACGGCAAAACTACAGAAGAGAAGATTGGTAGTCTATACTTACTACATAAAAATCAGAAACTTCCATTTGATAAAACCACCATGAACAAAGTTGAAAAGGCATTAAAATATAAGCAAAATAAAATTCAAACAACGGAATAATATTATCTCTGCAAATTTAAGTAAAAGGAATACTGTCTAAATATATAAAGATCTTACACAAATAGATAAGAACTGGTCCAAATTTGGGAAGAAAGGAGGAGCTAAGAGGGAGATGAAACAAATAAGGAAAAAGCTATGAAAATAAAAATAGACACATAAAGATCTGAACAAGATTGATGAACGAGGGAGAACAACTCGATAACAGCGTATGAAAAAAATGTCTACTCAACCTAAGAAATGCAAATTCCAACAAGAAATTGTCTCCAGTGAATACACAGGGATTGTTTCTAATGAGATCACTCAGTGTAGGCAGAGAGGCCTTGAAAAGAACCCTCGCTGGATTGCGTTGAGGAGTGCACATTTTTACAAACTTTTAAAAAGTAAACTGGTTATTAAGTACTGAGAAACTTTACATATTAGTCCCCCTAGACCCAGCACCTTCACTTCCCGACATCAAGCCAAATGCTTTGCTGCCCCCAGGATGAAGTCCAAGCACCCTGATGTATCATTTATCTTTCACATTTCACTTCCTGCTCACATTTGTCACTCCATCAATGTAAGACCTAGAGTGTGTTGCCTGCAAGCTTTTCCTGCTCATTTTTCCCCTCCTCAGCAAGCCCTCCACCAACTTCTCAGCCTGGCTCATTTTGCTCCCCTTCTGGAATCAGCTAAACTTTGGGAGGGTTTTCCCTGGTCCCCATCCGGGATGAATTCATTTGCTTTCTCCCAGTTTCCACAGCACCTAGTGCCTATTTATACAGATAATTTATGTATTTATTCACATATGCATGTATTTAATTATGTATCTGCCTCTACCTTCTTGGTTTCCCTCTCTCTGTATTCCTTGCAATGGTGGATTTCAACTGAAGGGTGATTCTGCTCCCCTGGGAGTATTTGGCAATATCTAGAAACATTTTTCTTTTTACTACTAGCGGCAGTAGGTGGTACCAGGATCTGGGTTGCAGAATCCAGTGATGTTAAGTATCCTAGGATGTACCATCATAAACAGTCACCTAGCCCAAAATGTCAACTGTGCCGGAGAAGCCCTGTTCTCTATCTAGCTTCCACCAGCCTGGAACATAAAAGCATACAGCCTCCCCCAAAGTCCCACAGAATTATATACTGAAATAAGGTAAAATGAACGTGTAAAGCCCAATGTCTTCTTTGTACAATGAACATAATAATATGTCTGCCCAAAGGTGGCAAGAAAATGAAGAGACAATATAAAACAGTGCCTGGACTAATGTCTAGAAAATATAAGGAACTCAAAAGAAGTCAGATCCCCCAAATTTAAAGAATCAATCTAAAAATGGCATCTAAAATGAAGACGCTTCTCAGATGAAGAAGTAGAAATGACAAATAAATATATGAAAGAATGTTCAACATCACTGGTCATTTGAGAGTTGCAAATTAAAACAATGCTGAGATTTCATCTTACTCCAGAAAGAATGGCTGTTATCAACAAATCAACCAATAACAAATGCTGGCAGGGCTGTGAAGAAGGAGGACCCTTCTCTGTTGTTGGTGGGAGTGTAGACTGGTGCAACCACTGTGGAAATCAGTGTGCCGATTCCTCAAAAAATTAAAACTAGAGGGGCTGGGGGTTTAGGTCAGTGGCACAGCACCTGCCTGGCAAGCATGAGGTCGTGAGTTCGATTCCCGGGACCAGAAAAAAAACAAAAAAAAAACAAAAAAAACAAAACAAAACACTAAAACTAGAGGTTCTATTTGACACAGCTATTCCCTTTCTTGGTATATTTCCAAAAGAATTAAAAGCATCATAGCACAGCAATATATGCACACCCATGTTTATAGCAGCAGAGTTTGTAAGAGCTAAATCTTGGAAACACCCCAAATGCCCATCAACTGATGAATGGATGAAGAAGACGTGGGGTTTTTATACAATAGAGTACTACTCAGTCATAAAGAAGTATAAACATAAAGACGTATAAACTTGAGACATTTCTAGGTAGATGGATGCAACTTGAGACCACACCCTTAAGTGAAATAAATCAGATATATGTTTTTGTATTGCTTTGGTTCTCTGGTGTGAGAAGCCAAAAGTGTAAATAAAGACCAAAATGTATACTAAATACTGGGAAATGGGAAGAAAATGCTTAAATGAGAAGGGGAATGAGGGAGTGGGGTGGGGGAAGGAAGGGACAAGGAAAAAAATGGAAGCGAAGCTTTTGTAAATAAGGAGGGGGAGAGGGGTTGGAGGGAGGGGAGGGGAATGGGGAAAAAAGCAGCAGGAAGATCTCTCATGTACAAATTCCCTATGATGAATGTGATCATTATGTATATCTAAAATCTACCAATAAAATTTTTAAAAAAACAGTGCCTGGTACAAAGCTCATATCTCATCAGTATTAGGTCAAACTAACAAAAATTTGCATAAATTAAACCACAGGCCCAGAATGGTGTAGTACTGAAATGAGTCTTAGTAAGTCTTAAAGACTTTGTAGTCAAACTCCTTCATTTGATAGCTGAAGAACCCCTGTGAAAGGTAATGACTTTGCCAAACCATTGGCCTTAGATCCAAGTTTTCAGTTTAATGGCAAGCCACACTTTAAATGTACACCTAAGACAGAAATTGTAAGCTGACTCTCCTAAAACAAATAATTATCTCTCTTGGTTTGGCTTGTAAATATAAGTTTCATAGCTATGTATAATTTTTTTTAAAAATAGCTAGAATATTAACAGAACGATGATTCAACTGAATATTATTACCAGAAGTTTCACAGAGGGTTATTTTAAAATTACATTTCTGGCATTCATGCAAAATAGGCAAATGTATTAAAATACAAAGTTAAACAAATACTATGTTCCTTCTATTGTAGGAGATAGAGTCTGGATCCAGCATGACTATTTAAATATTTTGTCATAAACCACTCAAATATTAACAGAATTCTTGGCATCTATGCTAAAAATTAACTACGTTGCAAGGATTCCATTCTTCTTCCTGTTGAATTGCTAATACATGCAAGAAAATCTCTTAGCAAAATATAACTTAGAGGTACCATCTGATCTGAGGTCTTAGATTCTAACATATTATAGTTTTTTAATATAAACATACATATAATCAGAATTTAAACAAATGATGGCAAATAAATTAAAACATATATGTTTAAAATATATAGATTTTATTAGGTGTTCCTTGTACAGTCATCTGGTATTTTTAAAGAGTGAGCAATCATATAAAAGGAAATATGATCATAACTGATTGAAGTAATAAAATCCCCAAACTAAATAACATCTCATAATTCATTGCCCAGCATGTATTAGATTTCATTACAGCAGTATATAGCTTAGTAGTAAATTCTTCTGGTAGCTATAAACCTCTAAGGTGTTGTCATCCTGAAAAATGAAAGGAGGGGGCGGCTGGGGCACAGAATGGATAGATCTCCCGATGGTTCAGCTCGCATTCAAAGGGAAAAGTTGTAGTGTGTCGCCACCTAATGGCAGGACTTCTGTCCTTGTTCTAATAAAGGGACTACCTGTTTTCTAGAGCTGTCTCACTGGCCCTGTAACTATATTCATCTCTGATGCTACAGTTCCTAAACTGTGGGCTGCCCACTAAGTGTTAATCCATCTACTCTTTATCTGCCAAGCTGTAAGGATTTGGCTGTGGTAGTTTTTATGTTCACCTAACTTTTTAATTCCAAGTACCTTGGTAATTTTCAAAGCCACACCCAAGATGTCTATATTTTTAAGACACGATCCTGCTTGTGAATTTGGGATACCTATTATGCTGTAGGAACTCTGGGCTTTGGCCCAGGTGTTATTCTACTTTTGGATCTTTTTAGGATGTCAGAATAACACATAGCTGACGCATTAAAACTGGGTCTTCAAGCCAGGCGTGGTGACGCATGCCTGTAATCCCAGCACTTGGGAGGCTGAGGTAGGATTGTTGAGACCAGGCTGAGCTACAAAGTGAGCTCAAGGCCAGCCTGAACTGTGTAGCAAGACCCTGTCTCAAAAAAAAAAAAAAAAAAAAAGCCTAGGTCTTCAAACAGCTACATGAGATTACCACAATCTACAGTTTGGATTTTACTGAGATTCTAGAATTTTAAAATGTGCAGAGGTGCAGTTAGAGAAGATTTGTTAATTAGCATTTTGGTGCCATACATAAAGAATCACACCAGTAGACCATGAGAACTCAGTTCAAGAATGTTATTAAATATTTCTGTGATACAAAATTTGGAACAGCATCAGCACTGGGAGAAGAGGTCTGAGGCCCCAGTGTGCTTTACTTTGCTTCCTATACCTTGGCGACATGTGAGTTAAGTTATTCTATGAAGTGCACCATAACAATGAACATACGCCAGCTCTCTGCTTTGTGGGTGGAACTGCAAAGTAGAGTTAAAAAGAGAGAAAAAGAAGAGCATGGGATACTGCTCAATAAACCACTCACTTCCTTCAAGGTCTAGAAAAAGCCTGTATTCAAAGCCTACATCAATCTCAAGTTTTGAAAAAGATACCATTTTAAACTGTACAAAATACATTTACAGGATGTGACAGGTTAGAAGTGGGAAAACAGTGTCCATCTAAAAGGCAAAGCAAGGAAACAGCAGTCTCAGGGAGTCTCCACCTGTAGTGGATTGACAGCTGGTGGTCAACTTGCAACTCCCAGCTGAAGTGACTCAGCGTGGTGCTGGGTGTGGGAGGCCCACCTGGGGACTGTTGCCAGCAGCATAAGAGGCCGAACTGGAAAGAAAGAAGTTTTGAGACTGTTGGGAGTTGGTAGAAGCTGTTAGGAGCCTGTTGTTAGCTGTAAGGAGCTGTTGGCTTTCCTGGAGGAGTTTGTCATGCTGGCTTTCCTGATGAACTGGGCTGTTTTCATCCTCTGAGGAGCTCTGAACCTCGTTGGCACTGAGAATGGCTTCAGTTCACTTTCGGGGAGCTCTGGTCCTCACTTTAAGTATCACTTCCTGGCTCCGGAGGGGAAGATGGCGCACTGCTCAGTCCCTGGAGAAGCTTCTCAGGTTGGCTTTCCTGACAGGAACTCGGCTTTCCTGACAGGAACTCGGCTTTCCTCATCATCGGAGGAGCCTGGGACCTCACTTTTGCTGAGGATGGCTGTGGTACTTTTTGGGGGAGCTCTGGTTACTTTGAGCATCACTTCCTGGCTCCAGTGTAGAT